TTATATGTTGTCAAAAATACATTTTTAATGGTACAACACTCAAACATCAAAAACAGAATCCATACAAGTTTCCCACAAACACCTGCAAAAACCATCACCATAGCAACAGTTGCCATAAAGTCTGGTTTCCATATAGTTGTGGCTGGTGTATGGATTCTGTGGTTAGCATACAACTGTTGTAGAGACAGACCTGACTTCTATCTCCATGATTCTTGCAACAGTGTTGTAAGGCTGTTGTAGGGGCTGTATGGAAACCAGGCCTAAGGGACTGTATGCATAGGTACAGTGTGGTTTTATGGCCATTTTAAGAGATTGGCTAATTTTAAAAAATTCTCTGTACTATATAGCCCATGCTTTTTTCCAAAAATGGCCCAAATTTTTATTACATTTTCTAATACATATCGATGCCCTTATGCTGTGTAGAAAGTTTGAGCTGATTCCGACTATAACTTTTTAAGTTACAGCCATTTTAAAACTGAATAATGATAATTATTATGAATCACTGCTAGGTTGATTTCATTTGGATCAATCGTGACCAGAGACACTTTGAGTGATTCATGGAGCTACTGAATGAACTGGAAATGGAACAGAATGAATATGGAACACTAATGGATCGGTTCCTTGATATGCACATGTACATCACATCAGCTTTACAAAGGACTGATGTTAAAGCATTAGGATTACAAATGGCTCTTGATCTGATACACAAAGAAAAGAACATTGATCTTATAACTGGACTGAAGACCAGGACACAGACTGGTAGACCTAGCTGGGATAAGGTAATATAGGAGGAGAGAGAGAGAGGGAGGGAGAGGGTGAGAGAAGAGAGATATGGTGATACTGTATAACTGATAGTACTGGTAGTGTAGTATTACTGGCCTATACTGACAATACTTAATGACTACTATACACCACCAAATGGTACCAATATATATAACAACCAACAATATTATAAATAAATAACAAAATACACCTGTATATTATATTCCGCCAATATTAGCAGGTGTACATGTACATGTATATGTATAGGATAGGAGTAGTTAGTGTGTGGTTAGTGTCTAATCATTGGTTTACAATATTACACTAGGTCTA